TGGGCTAAAACCCACTTCATCGGAAGTGGGTTTTAGCCCATGAAAGCTTATGCCCAAATAAATGTGTTAGTCTCTAAGGTGCCACAAGTACTCCTCGTTCTTTTTCCTTAGAAGCCTGTTTCAGATCTTAACTACCCTCATATCTAACCTACATCCCCTTTGCTGCAGATTAAGCCCATTACTTCTTGTCCTATCTTCAGTGGACATGAATAACAATTACTTACAGTCCTCATTTAACAGCCTTTATCATATTTGAAGACTATTATCAGGCCCCCCATGGCCTTCTTTTCTCAAACTAAAGGTCATTTTGAATTCTAATCCTGTCCTCCAAAGTGCTTGGAACCCCTTTCAGCTTGGTGTCATCTGCAAATTTTATAAGCATACTCTCCACCCCATTATCCAGTCATTAATGCAAATACTGACTAGTACTGGTCCCAAGACTGATCCCGGCAGGATCCCACTAGATACATTCTCTGTTTGATAGCAAACCATTGATAACTACTGTTCGAGTATGGTCTTTTAACCAGTTATGCACCCACTTTATAGTAATTTAATCTAGACTGCATTTTCCTAGTTTGCTTATGAAAATATCATAAGGGACTGTGTCAAAAGTCTTATTAAAATCAAGATACATTTCATCTACTGCTTCCTCACTATCCACTAGGTCAGTAACCTAGCAACATAAAAGAGAAGGGAAACAGCCCACTTCTCTTAACATTTCATTTTGGGAAATTAGTCAAATCTAATTGGCAGAACTTTTGAATACACAAAGCCAAATTATATTATGTCAGGAAATTAAAACACCCAGATAGTTTGTTTAAGATTTAACATGCTCATCTAAATAAAGAGAAACAAGATTTACTTATACAATACTAAAAAAGGCTCCTGTTAACAAGCATATATTTAATGCCAGCTAAACTGCAGTAAAGAAGATCTGATGAAGGATTAATTGACTTTTAAATAAATATATCCCTTTATTTTTTGTAATCCTTAACTTCCAGAGTATGCTAATATACCCGTTTTCAATTAAAAAATGAATAAAAAGCCTGCAATGCAGCAGACTTTAACAAAACCTAGTTTAAATAATAAAACAAATTCTTATTATCACATAAAGTGTCTACTGAAATCCTTAGGGAAATTACAGATCAACTAGTTGAAGGCATATGAAAAAAAGCAATTTTTCTTTAAGTCCTCAGAAAGATTGGTTTATGCCCTGTGATTTATTTAAATTGAATTTTAATTTAAATAGCAATTTAGCTATTATATCACATCTGCAATGCATACAGCCTCCACCTGGCTAACATCTGTTTTCTGGTTCTTACACTGGGTAATAGTGGCAAAACAACATCCTTTGGTCTTCTGCTCAAGATTTTATTTAAGCATTATACTGTTGCTTAGCCTTGAGAGAAGTTCTAACTTCTAGTTTCTCTCTTTTGCTCCATTGTTAGTGCACATAAAATTGATTTGTTTTCTCCATTTAGTTCACTGAGGCATCTTGAAAATGGGTTTCACATGGAGGTGATAGCACAACAGCATGGTGAGCAGAATAGCAGGGAACATTTATTAGCTTAATTAGATGACTGCTGGAATCAAACTGCTTTTTTCTTCAAAATTCAATATGAAGAATACTGAATCTGACAAGATTTTATGCCTAATGTGCAAGACTTTACTGCTGGGTTACTTTTTATCCATTGTGTCATCATGAGAAACTGCCTCTCAATGGGTTACAAAAAATTTTAAGGAGTTATCCTGACTTTCTCATACAGTTGGTTTGAACCTCTCCACAAAAGAAAAACAAAATAGATCTTACAGCAATTTATTTCTAAGGGGAAAAGCCTCGAGTGAATCCCATCACCTTTAATTACAGATGTTGTATGATTCTGGGTGGAATATACATCCCAGAGGATATTTAAAGACCACCCCACTAGTTTTAATTTAAATAATATCTGACATGTTCACACTCTAACCAGATAAAGGAGTACGAGTTCTTTGAAAAATGTTCGAGACTTTAACTACTGGCACATACGTTGTGCAATTTGCTATTTCCACATGAAAACCTGCCTAAGGGAAATCAGGGTTAAAATTTGCATTATGAAGAGTGAGAAAAGGGTTGGCAGTATTACAACTTTAGAGACTTTGGTTTAAAGTGACAAACTTTAAATTGTTAACTTCCTCACTCAGTCTCCCCACATGAAAATGAACAAACCAAAAAGAAAAAACTTGCAGGCAGCTGTGTTTGTAACCCTGGGTTGGAAAAAAGCAACAATGTGCATATTCTTTCACAGAAGCCTTCCTTGAAAAAAAATATTCATTTGGATAACTGGATGTTCCAGGGGAGTAGTAAAACAGTACTAAGACTTTTCACCTCTAGGTGACTAGTTCGAATCTAATTTATACTAGTGGCAGGAAGAAGCTGTTCTCTTCCAATAGCTGTTTGATGAGCTATGAGTTTGTGGTTTCAATCCAGTTTCTAGTTAGTCCTCATCACAAAAAATGCCAAGTCAAGCATTCTTTTATCCCTCTTAGCAGTGTATGCAGAAAGATCAGAGCTGAATGGGCATGAAGAGTGAACAATTACCCACAGAGAGGGTATCCTCCATATCAGGTTTGAGGAATATTGTCAGGTTGCAGTGTCCCCAAACTGGATGATTTTACATACAGTAGCATATATCTAATTTTAAAAAGGATGGATTACAGAGGCAATTTCAGATCTACACAAGAGTTTCCTTGTATTTGTGGGTTTCAAGTCAGATTGTTAACCCTTCTTTTAACAATTCTGTGGTTTATTCATATACATATCTGAAATCTGGAACAAATGGTTATACATTTTAGCATTCAGCATTTTATAGCCTTCACGGTGTGATACAGGCATAAAAAGTACTAATATGCAGCAGTTCACAATTAAAGATGCACATATTGCTGCTTCTAATGAATATGTGCATCAATTGAGAATTGCTAGTCCCATGCACTAGGTTCACATTTATTCAGTTAAAGAGTTACATAGGGAATCAGGCAATTTAAAGTAACAGTACTCACAATCTTTTCTTATCTACCATTCGTTTGACTCTGACGGCTCTTTGTTCAGAGTACAGCTTACACACTCCTGTTCAAAAATGTCAAGAAGAGCAGAAAAAAATGTAGTTAGACGATCAAAATTTTCTCTCAGAAATTATCAGTATGATCTTAAAAATATGAAAATAAAGAGGTTGACAATATTGTACAATCAAATAATCATTCACTTTGAACTGTTATACATTTGTAGAAAAAAATGTACAAGGTACTTTTTAAATAATCTTCAGTGAAGTCCAAGACGGCTGCTCTGTGCTCCCTCACTTGTGGGGATTGGACATTCTTGTGTGCTGAAATGAAAAATTTCAAGATAATATTTTACACTTGGTGTTGAAGAATATGAAAGCCCACCTCTTCAGTTTTCCACAGATTTTACTCTATATACAACTTTATATTTACAAAAGTCTATTAGTATATTTTAAGAAATTAAAATGTATATTTTCACAATAGCATTTAAAGAAAATAAAATAGTATCACGTAGTTTACCTTTTATCGTTGCTTGTAGATATTCTCTTTGGGTGCCCTACTTATGTGTCAATTACATCTGTATTAAAAATAGACTTTTGCTCAAGCCAAGCTTAAAGAGACAAATCTAAAGACTCAACTTGCCTAGTGTTCTAGACTGTAAACTCTCCAGGACAGAGATTGTCCTGATATTTGTGTCTTGCCCAGTACCAAACACCAATTTGGCCCTTAAATATTTATGTTTTTTATTTTAATAACATATAGCTCCCATGACAACATAATAGATATACATTTCTGATTAGTGCTACAGAGGTGTATCTATCTATCTAAGGAAGCTTAAATTTGATGCAAACCTTTAGTACACTTATTTCACAATCTTTATCACATATTAGGAAAGACCGGCTTTTTAACAAGTAAACCTAGGGTTATCCAACCCTGACACAGTATGCCCACCCATTCCTTGAATTTATCTTTACCACGTATTCCAGTCTCTTCTCTTAATAGTCTACTCCCTGTGCTGATGGTCCTCTTTGGAATGCTCCCATTGGCATTAGTTATAAATAGGGCTTCTAACTGTAAGATTTTTAACCAATAAACACAGATAAAACCCCTCAGATAAAAAAATGAAATTGGAGTTTATATAATAAAGACAAGAAATAGATACTTGTTTCTAAGGGCTTGTCTACACAGAGCAGTAATATAAACTACAGAAGTGTGATTTCTAAAGTGCACTGAAGTGTTGCACATTAACTGGTCCTTTCAGATCCTGCTGGTGTGCACTAAAAGTACCCCAGTGTGCTTTAATGTAGTGCTGTTTGAAATAGTACTATGTTAAAGAGCATATGAAATATTACAAACAGATTACTCATTACAGTATATATGAGTAAAATATACAAAGAATGTATACAAAGAGAGCCCCGACCTCCCCTCCCCTCAATTTTTGGACAGCTACATAAAACTCAAAAATTGCTAAAAATAATCCCCCCCAAATAAAATTAATAAAACCCCCAAAATAGAAACCCTAGTTATAAATTATCTTTTACCAGTTCAATCAATTTTGTCCTCTTCTTGTAGCTTGACCTGTCATGATTGACCATGACCTTGGACATGCCACGTACTGACGTGACACTTGGTGCATGCAGTCAAATCCATTTTAAAAAGGCAAAAGAACACTCAGGTCTGGAACCCTCATAAAATATACCCTGCAAGGCTTTCATCTGGATATCAGAAGATTCTTCCTCAAATTATCAAGATTGGCCATATTCCTTTACAAACTCAGTATCCAGCAGTGGCCACAATATTCCAAGAGTGCTATCACGATAACTTTGCATAATGAAACCATTATCACTTAGTTGTATACAACTAATTCTTCTTGGCTTGTCTATATGAATGTTTAGTTTGTGGCAAGCGGGGGTGTGAACAGTTCCCTAGTGCACTTTGATCTACCCCGCTTTAAACCAGGAGTAGATCTAAGCCAGTGGTGGGTAACCTGCGGCCCGCATGCGGATCATCAGGGTAATCTGATTGCGGGCCGCGAGACATTTTGCTGATGTTGACCATCCGCAGGCACGGCCCGCCGCAGCTCCCAGTGGCGGTGCCACGTCAGCAAAACATCTCGCGGCCTGCAATCAGATTACCCTGATGGGCTGCATGTGGCCCGCAGCTTGCCCACCACTGATCTAAGCACACTATGGAACTGTTAGTGCACGGCAGCAGGGTCCACATGGACAATAAGTGTGTAGCAGTCTAGTGCAGGGTTGATCTACACCCCAATTTGCCAGGAAAGAAGTGTTTGTGTAGACAAGCTCTCTGTTTATGAAGTAATAGAAAATGTAAATCTTTTAATATTGGAATACTCTGCATCACTGAAGGGTTTCATTTTTTTGTTAGAATTTCCTCTAGAAGAAAGGCTTCAAATTTAGCAAGGACAATTGATCAATTCTGATTTTTGTCCATATTTCATTGAAATCTTCAATTTTATCATTATTTATCAGAACAAATGTAACAAATAACTAGTTCCATATCCCAGAATGATGCTCGTCAGTTTGAAAATGAAAAGTAATTTCACTTCAAGATACAATATTTTTTATATTTCTAGACATAAAAGACAGACATTATAAGCACTTTGTGCAAAATTTAGTTTCTGTATTGTTCCCAGATTCAATACCCAACAACCTTCACTTGGTGTGAAATCTTGGACCCACTGACTTCAGTAGGACTAGGATATCACCTTTTAACACAAAAGCTAGGTCTGATTTAAAAAGGATATGCTTAGAAACGGTGGGGAAAGTAATAATGAAGTTTTAGTAACTACGCAGTCTGATTAGAAATATTTACATTTCTATACTCTGTATGTATTGGTCACTTAAGCTGTTGACTTTTGTTAGTACAGCTTACTGGGAAAGTCGCCCATTGACTTTAATGGATTTTGGGTCAGGCCTGTATGCCATTTTGCAAAAAATTATTACTTACACGGTAAATGTTTAGAAAGACTTAGATTTTTTTTCTTTTAATCAGATGCTAATTAATGGACTGGGGTGGCTAGGTTAAATTCTATGTGCTGGACTTTCCTTTTACTCATACAAATGTACATCAAGAATAATTCCACTGAAGTCAGGAGTTACATGGGTTTAAGTGAATGGAAAATTAAACCCTATGTATCTTTCTTTTAAAAGGTTGTTCAGAACACTGTTCAACCTTCACAGTCATATCAGCATTTATCATGAACTCTTCAATAATTAACATAATCCATTTACCGTTATACTAATTTACCTTCCGTTCTCAGCTGTTGAATGGCATCAGCACATGTCCTCATAAATATCTGAGCATCTTGATCAATCTGATCACGTTCTGTGTCTGTCATCCTAATGTATTCTGACATAAGATGGCTGAAGAAAAAAACCAAATACTATCATTTTTTAAAATTGTGTATAATTTATAAATGTATATTTTGACCTTCCTTTCTGCACTTCTCTTCATATAGATATTTGGGTTTTTTTTGTTATACAGCCTGATTTTCATAAAGACCAAGAAGGTGCAACGGGCCACTCTCAAAGTACAATACCCAGCACATTGAGAAATATCACTAAAAACGGTCACCTATCTTTCTGTGACTGTTGTTCTTCAAGATGTGTTGCATATGTCCATTCCACTATGGGTGTGTGCATGCCTCATGCACAGTTGTCAGAGAACTTTCCCCCCTCTTCAGTACCTATCGGGGCAGCTCGAGCACCCTCGGCCATCACATGCCATTGTATGCACATATAAGAGGACAGAGCCACCCTGACTCCCCTCAGTTCCTTCTTACTGGATAGACTCCAATAGAGAGGAGAAGGAAAGTGGGTCATGGAATGGACATGTGTAACACATTTCGAACAACACCACTTACAGAAAGGTAGGTGTGACCGAATGCACCCCTATATTCACCACTATAGTAGTAATCTTTGTACAAAATGTGCCTTGTGAGGTAGCATTTGAAAACTAACAACTCACTGGTCAGTAAGATCATGGTGAAATGTGTGTAACAACATTATAGGTAAAGTTATGAACATAAGCTGAAATTATGACTCAAGGTGTTTACCAAGCAAGTTTGGAGAGTGGGTAAACCAGTTTCTCAAAGCTGACACCTCTAGCCAGTTGTCATCAAAGCTGATGGGCAATCACCTGTCATATGGCCATTCTTTGGCAAGGGACGGGGGCAGGAACAAACAGATCTGTATTTTAGCAAACAGCATGGAACCTCTTTTAACACAAGACTTCTTGTCTCTGTCCTCACAGCAGGAATTAACTTTATTTTGGGGTAACCCTCAAGGAAATGCATTTCAAAGGGGGACTGGACTATCAAGTGAGGGGCAAAATCACCTCACGGTATCTCTTCCTATCCATCTCTCTCTCGCTCTCTTTTACCTAAGACAACTAAAGGAAGCAGCCATTTGACTTTTGGAGAGAACCTGACCTGAAATTTGGACAGCCGTGTTGTTGGAAGCATGTGGTAAGGATCTTATCTTGAACCAAGTCTAATTTGTTAAGTTTTCGCACAAGAAGGCATTTTCTCTGTTTCTCACGTAACTATTTCTGACTTTAATGCCTTATGGTTGTACTCACTTAAAATCTCTTAGTGGTTAAATAAACTTGTTTTCTTCTTGAATCAAACAAATCTAGTGTTGCATTCAAACTGAATTGTTTGGGTGACCCCAGTAGCAAACTGTTGGACATTGTTCCCTTACAGGGGCAACAAACCTAAAATATCTGAACTTTCCAGGAAAGGGCTCGACATTGCAGAACCCACATTTTGAAGGAAAATTCAGCACTGGGAGTGTGTTGGGGTCACCCTCCAAGTAGTAACTAAGGCTGATGGATGCCAGAGTGTGACTGGAGTGTGCTGGCAGGCTGCAGCTATACACAGACACTACATTCTGTTCGGCTGTTTGTGAGGGGCTCAAGTTGGGAGCTACAGCTGCAAAGCATTGTGAGGTACCCCAGGCTGCAGGGCAGGTGGCGACAACCCCTCACTGGCTGGATTGTACCCCAGAATGTCATAGTAGGTAAACATTTTTTCTTCTTTGAGTGTTCATTTCACTGTAGGGGACTCACAAACAGATTAACATGAAGGAGGGCTCGGAGTCTCCCTGAACAGTGATTGTAGAACAACCCGTCCGAAATTGGCTCCATTCCTAGACTGGCTAGAAATGGCATAATGAGCAGCAAAAGTGTGAACTGATGACCAAGTTCTTGCTTTGCAAATGTCTCAGATAGGTACTTGCACAAGGAAAGCTACTGAAGCTCTTGTCGAATTGGCAAAGGCTCTAGGAAGTGACATGATATTAGTTAACTGGTAGCACAAATGAATGCAGGAAGAAATCCTCTGAGGAGAAGCCAGTTGGCCTTTCATCCTGTCTGCAATCATGACAAATAACTACATTGAGGATCCAAAGGACCTAGTGTGGTACACCCAGCCCATATGAGTAGTTGGAAGACAGACACATACACAAGGACATGCTATACGGGGAGCTATCAGAGGAAACAAAAACTACAGGCGTCGCTATAAAGACATATGCAAGCGAGATATGAAGGAATTTTGAATTGATCCTGAACAATGGGAAATCTTGGCAAGTGATCGTAACAAGTGGCGCCATCGTTTCCATCAGGGCATCAAAATCCATGACAGGAGCTGGCTCCTACAGCTTGAAGAGAAAAGAGCCCACAGGAAGCAAGCAGCTCCCAACCAAGACATACACATTTCAACAACTGCCAAAAAACATGCAAATCTCGGATTGGACTATTCAGTCACATGAGACATTGCAAACCATCTACATCATAGGCTGCAATTCCCCCAGTCTCTCGCAGATGAAAGGATGTCAATATCAGTGTGGTCCAAGTAGAAGGCTAAAGCTCTTTTAACATCCAATGAATGAAGTTTATCCTCATCTCTATGCATGTGAGGCTTTGGGAAGAAAATTGGCTAATAATTTGCCTGGTTAATGTGGAAATTGGAAACTACCTTTGTCAAGAATTTTGGGTGGGGTGGAGGTAAACTTTATCCTTATAAAAAACTGTATCAGGAAGCTCTGCGACTAAGGCTCTCAACCTGCTGAGGTTACCACAACCACAAATGCCACTGTCAGAAAGGTGGAGTAGGGAGCAAGACACGAGAGGTTCAAAGGGTGATCCCATTAATTTTGCTAGCACCAGGTTGAGATCCCCTGGAGGAACAGGTTCTGGTACCTGTGGGTATAACTGTCTAACCTTTTTAGAAATCTGATATTGGGATTGCAAAAAAGCAATCTATTACTCACTGAAGGGTGGAAAGCTGAAATTGCTGCTAAAGGTACTGTAGCAGAACTGTCAGACCTTGATGTTTTAGGTGTAACAGATAGCCCTAAATGTGGTTGATGGAAGCTTGCACTAGAGAGACACGTTTCTGTTGAGACCAGATAGAAAAACATTTCCATTTGGCCAGGTAAGTACACCTAGTTGAAGCCTTTCTACTATTCAGAAGTATTTCCTGAACGTCTTCTGATCAAGCCCTTTCTAATGGTGTTAGCCAAGAAGCATCCAGGCTGTCATGCTTGCAGATTGCAGTGGAGCAGATGGCCATGGTCCTGAAAAATCACGTCTGGATCCAACGGAAAAGGCAGAGGAGGTCTCACCGACAACGCTAGTAGGGTTGTCAAGGAAACACTGGTGCTCTTAGTATGAGGTAAGCATCGTCCTGTTTGGTCTTGAACAAGACTCTGGGAAGTAATGGTATCAGAGGACAGGCATAGAGCACAGAGTTCTTCCCTGGTAGCAAGAAAGCATCCACCAATGAACCCGCACTGTGATGCCCCCAACCCTCCTCCAGGGAGCGGAACTGATGGCAGTTTCTATTGGCCTTCATTGCAAAACAAGTCCGCTTGGGGAGTCCCCCACAGCTGGAAGAGGGACTTGGTACATCCAGATGTAGTGATTATTCATGGTGAGTGGAGAAAGACCTGCTCAGAGGACCTGCCAATGTGTTCTGCTTTCCGGGAGGGTAAGCACTTTGAGATGAATGGAGTTGATGATGCAGAACTCCCACAGCAGAATTCCCTCCTGGCACAGTTGCAACTAATGTGCCCCACCCTGTCTGTTTACACAGAATGTAGTTGCTGTGTTGTCTATTAACACTAGCAGATTTTCCCCCACAAGATGTGGACAGAAGGCTGAACAGCCTAGACTAACAGCACGTACCTCCCTGATGTTTATGTGGAGTTCTCCTGCAAAAACCGCAACCCTTGAGTTTGCAGGGTTCCCATGTGTGCCACCCAACCCAGGAATGGGGCATCTGTGATCAATATAAGCACTGGTTGCAGGAAAACGAAGGGAACTCCCAAACAAACTTTCCAAGGGCCTGTCCACCAGTCCAGAGAGGACAAAGTTATCTTTGGTATGTGAACTACTCTGTAGACAATGTCAACTGGGAGGATACACTGATGCTAGCCATTGCTGAAGCCTCCTGAGGTCTAGACTGGCATGCTGTACTACATAGGAACATGTTGCCATGTGCCCCAGGAGTTTGAGGCAAGTGTGCGTTGTGGTAACAGGATGTGGTTTTAGTTCCATGACCAAGCCTTGGAACAACTGGAACCTTGTGTGAAGCAGAAATTCTATTCTTTGCACAGGTTTCAGAATTGATTTGTCTGGACTGAATAATAACCCCAAAGCATTGAAGGTGGACTAGATCAGGGGTCGGCAACCTTTGAGAAGTGGTGTGCCACGTCTTCATTAATTTAAGGTTTCGCATGCCAGACCAGCAGCGCGGGCAGCAGACAGAACCCCAGATGGGCAGCAGACTGAGCCGCTCATCCCGCTACCGGTCTGGGGTTCCGTCCGCTGGCCCCTGCCAGCCAAGGTCCCGGCCACCAGCCCCGCTCAGCCCGCTGCCGGCCGGGTTCCGTCCATCCAGGCCAGCAGTGGGCTGAGCGGGGCCGGCGGCCAGGACCCCGGCTGGCAAGGGACCGGCGGCTAGGACCCCAGACTGGCAGCGGGCTGAGCGGCTCACCCACTGCCGGTCTGGGGTTCCGACCACCGGCCCCTGCCAGCCAGGGTCCCGTCTGCTGGCCCCGCTCAGCCTGCTGCTGGCCGGGTTCCGTCCATCCAGGCCAGCAGCAGCTGAGCTGGGACCCAGGCTGACAGCAGCGTGCCACTAAAAATCAGCCCGCATGTCGCAAGTTGCCGACCCCTGGATTAGATGATGGTCACAGAGGACAGTACTTGAATCTCGGACTGGTCTCTCACTAGCCAGTCATCCGGGTAGGAGAACACATGGATCCCCAACCTCCGAAGATATGCAGCTACCACCATCATCATGCACTCTGTGAGGGGCTGCTTATAGGCCGAACAGAAGTACTGCAAATTGGTAGTGGCT